AGTGAAGGCAATTTATGAGAAACTGAGGAAGGATTAATTATTGAATCGTTGTCTTGGAAGTTGTCTTGGAACACGCAAAATAATAACGAAAGCTATCGCAAGTGTGTGGACGATAGCTCCAAAAACTCAAAATCTCGGCAAAAAAGCTTAGAAACTGTAGTAGATCTGGCTGTTTGCAATTTCAATAACTACAGAAGTTACTTGCAAATTATGAAAGTATTGAACCTCAAAATTGGCCATAACTGCTACGAATTTTGTAAAGAGTACGACACAGTGCGTTTGAAGAAAGCAGAAAAAAGTCTCTCGGAGGAGGCAAAAGAGGCTAAAAGGTCGCTGTTAGATCAGAAAGAAAGTTGATGAGGCTGATGGGTTGATAGAAAATCAACTTTATGGAGCAGGCATCGCAGATTAATGATAAGATGGAAAGTTTTGCTGTGGCACAGCTGTATAATGTTTCAAAAACTTTTAAACGCATTTTTCTCAAAACTGTATTTTCTGAGACGATGTACATAATAACTCAGAAAGTTTTCATCCGATTGACTTCAAATTTTAACTGAATATTCTTAGCAACATTCTCTATCATCTGACCTAGGATTTTTGCAAAATTGACAAAATATTTTGTAGTTTTTTTTATCAACAATTAAAGACGATTTTTTATCAAAAAATTGAACCTTTTTTTCAAATCATCGCCATTTCAAAAGAAATCAATATTTTAAAAAATCCCTACGTCAGATGATAATTATAACAGTATAAATAATGTCATTTTTTCTTAATTTGCATAGGTTGAACCGTTTTGCCGAAATCATATACACCACTTGAGCCCGTTTCACGAAAAGTGTTCCCAGAATTGGATCAGATGGCCGCCATTTTGTTCAAACAAGATGAAAAAATAATTTTTTACAATAAAAAAGATATAGAATAAAACCCTCAAATTGGTTTTTAATCATATTATTCATTTTTCCACAAAAAATTCACAAAATTAGAGCTGATTTTTGGGTGCCAAAAGATGGGATCCCCTCTTAAGCTCAAGATAAATTCAACTCATTTGTGGACGGATTCTCAAGTCATTCTCATATGGATCAAATCTCATGCATCTCGTTGGAAAGATTACGTCAAGAACAAAGTAACCCAAATCCAATAATTGTCGACAAATGCCATCTGGCGCCACATTTCTGACTTTATGAATCCAGCAGATTGCGCTTCTCAAAGCGTTTCGATTGATCAACTCATTTCTCATCCATTGTAGTGGACTGGACTTCAATGATTTACTCAGTCTCAAGAGTTCTGGCCAGCTCAGCCAGAACTTTCTCTAGGACTTATTAACATGGAGGCTCGTCCATGGCTTATTAACATGGATTGGCATTGCTCGCTGCTGCTCGACATCAGCATATCATTAGGACTTAGTGTACAGATACTCGTCAGTCAATAAATTGCTTAGGCTCACAGCACTATGTTTCAGGCTCATATACAGGCTCAAGCAAAAGCTCAGTTCTCTTCTAGCTATCATCATTCCCACACAAGATATTGAACTCGCCATCAACTCATGTCTTCTCCAAATTGACAGCATTCATCGTTGATCAAGGTATCATTCATATTGAAAAAAGACTCAATGAGACAAATTCTCATTCGATCATCAAGAAAGGCATCTAGCAATCTTGCTACATTATTCCCAGCTCTCATCTCTCATTATCGACGACACTCATAAGGCTCCACTCTCCATGGTGGCACTCAACCAACACTTGCCATCCGTCAGACTTACGGGATAATTGATGAAAGAACTCCAGTAAAATCTCATGTACTTAAATGTATGCGCTCGACAACGAGGAATTCACGCACGTTAGCTCAGCGGTCAGCTCCCTCTTGCACACGACTCCCTCACGTGCCTTCCTACATAGAGGACTACGCAAGATCAGTGCAGCTCAAAGCTTGCAAGGGACGAGGCTTTAAAACAAGGGCTCAAATAAGAAGAGAGGGTGTGCGTCACGACCCGACCAGTTGTGAAAACTCATAATTATTTTGCGAAAAAATACCACCTCAGCCAGGAATCGAACCTGGATCTCCTGCTTATCGGGCAGGCATCTTATCTTTTCAACTACTGAGGCATGTGATGATATTTATCGCAATAACGTGTTTAGAACAACACGTCAACCATACAATGACATACATATACATATATATTATATATGTATATTCTCTCGAATATGTATATTCTCTCCCCATGACCGGTACTCCAAAGCGATATTGGTCTCTCACGTGATGGATGCAGATCGGACTTACAGTGACACTCTCCAACGCCACTGGCAAAAATACAAATAATCCTCCTAGTGCGCGACAGGAGAAATTGCATCAAGCATGACTCGAACACTCGAATAAGAAGGGATGGTATGCGTCACGCCGGGCTCGACCAGTCGTGAAAACTCGTAATTATTTTGCGAAAAAATACCACCTCAGTCAGGAATCGAATCTGGATCTCCTGCTTACCGGGTAGGCATCCTTTCGATTACCGAAGTATGTGATGATATTTATCGCAATAACGTGTTTAGAACAACACGTCAACAATATAATGACATACACATATATACATATATTACAATACACACACACACACACACACACACACACACACACTATTTATATATATATATATATATGTGTGTGTGTATATGTATATTCTCTCGAAACCCTTGTGTGTTTGTGTGTCTCGCAACGTCTGCAACTCATCTAGAAGTCATCAGCGACTACTCAACGGACTTCCTAGCTACCTAGAAAATTTGTCTTAAGAAGAGGAGTAGTTCATACTTTTTACTCAGACTACGAAACCAACTTCATCGGTGCAGACATGGCTCTCAAGAAATCTTTTGACAGCTCAGCAGAACACAAGATCATTTCATCTATCTCAGTAAACAGTATCATTTAGAAATTCAAGCTCTAGAATTACCACATATAGGCAAGCTGTTGTGAAATCTATCAAATTTCATCTTCGACGGACAATTGGAGACACTCTGCTCTACGCAGAATTCTCAACGTTTCTCACTCAAATAGAAGCTGTTCTTAACTCTCGACCGCTCGAACCGCTCAGTGATGACCCTGAAGACGTCTCTGCTCTAACTCGTGGACATTTCTTATTGGACATTTCTCCTCTCAACTCAATTCCCGAACCATCACTACTTGATATCCTCTTCCAGGCTGTTTCGGTAACAACTCATTCAACAACGGGTTCAACAATTCTAATCCTAATGGTCGGCTCACTATCTACAGCGACAACAATCCATTTCCAAGTGGCATCACCCCTCCAACATCATTAAAGTTGGGTCTTTAGTTCTGCTCAGATGAGAGACTACCACCTAGCAAGTGGCCTCTAGCAAGAGTTCTAGAGTTGCACCTAAGAAAGGATGGCTTCACCAAGTCACGCTCAAAACAACCACCACACATTCGATCCATTTGCAGCCTGCTCATTTTGAAGATCAACATCAACAAAAACTTGCTGATGGCGGGAATGTTCGAGAATGAGCTTATATTCTCGATGAAAGTTGCGCGCGGGTGTTTAATTCTTAGATGGCAGCACCGCACGCACACATGCATTATGCATGATTGGGAAAGTGCTTGAGGCTTCTGGCGCTTCTCTAGTGCGCGCTCTCACTAAATTTCTCTTTTTCAGTCATTATGCATATCACATATCGCTCGAAGTAGTGTTTGGTTATCGTGACTTGTGCAGTAATATTATAAAAGGACAGCTCTACTCTCAAAACTCGCTCATCCAAAGTCAGTGAAAGTGACTTGGAGAGCTACCGGAATATCGCGAGGTTACTTTGGTAATAATTAAACTAATGGTAATAATTAAACTAATTCTCAAACAGGTATAAAACACATTGTTGCTTTTCAAAAAAATTATATGATTTGCAATAAAAGAAGTATACGTTTATTAAAGACAACTATGTGTTTTCTGTACATCAATTGATTTGTCTTATTATTTATACGTAATAGTAATACGACATGATTATAAAAAAATGAATTATTTACGAGATATTTTATATTTTATGTCAGTGACTTGGAGAGCTGCCGGAATATCGCGAGGTTATATCATCGTGACGTGCTCGTGCTCACCACGTGGTGTTCACGTGGCCGGCGAGTGAATCCTCGATTTCCTCTCTCGGATTTGGGCTTGCTCACTTGGAGGGCATTAATAAAATCTCTCCAAGATTTGTGAAATATAATTCAGCTCATTAGTCTCAGACTTCTACTCTCAAACTTTAAAGGTGTATCGACTCAGTGTTTTGCTCGTGACGCGTTTCAAGAACTCGTTTGATAGTGAGAATATAAAAATCTAGTCAACGGTGAAATCTATGATATAGACATAAGCTAATCGCGGCATAGAGTATCGGTGCGTCGCTCATAGTCCCAGAACTTTGGTAATAATTAAACTAATTCTCAAACAGGTATAAAACACATTGTTGCTTTTCAAAAAAATTATATGATTTGCAATAAAAGAAGTATACGTTTATTAAAGACAACTATGTGTTTTCTGTACATCAATTGATTTGTCTTATTATTTATACGTAATAGTAATACGACATGATTATAAAAAAATGAATTATTTATGAGATATTTTATATTTTATGTCAGAATATGCCAAAATAAAGTATAAAATATCTTGGAAACTAATTTTTTGATAACTGCCTTAATACTTTTATATCCGGAATACTAATAATCGATGTTATGTAACAAAAATAAAATCTATTTAAAAAAATAAATAAATAAAGTCATAAAATATCTCGATAGTGGCTCTATTTGTAAATGAATCAATATCATAATCATGAAACTTCTACAATTTTTATCTGAAATATTTTTCTTTAAAACTAGGCAAATAAAATTTTAGAGAATGTTAAATGGAACAATCTGTGCATTTTTTTTTCTCTTTCTTTTTTTTCTATTTTATTCTTTTGTTGTCTTTATTATATATTTGTTTTTTTTATTATTATTTATTATACTATTATACATACCGATTCAATCCTGTTATCAGAAAGATCCAGATCACGTAATCTTCCCATCTGTGAGAAGGCAAACTCATTTACATGGCGTAGCATATTTCCAGACATGTCCAACCATTCTAGAAACTGTAGCGACTTGATGAAGTCACTGGAAAATTGGACAAATCGGTTTTCTGAAAGATCAAGTCGTCTGAGCCTTGGATGAATTGCGAAAGCTGTCAGAGAGAGCTGGTTGATACAATTGCCAGACAAATCAAGAATTTCTAGGCCAGTACCGGTATTGAAATATTCGCCGACGAACGATGTGAGCCTATTACCTCGCAAGTTCAATGAGTAGAGATTTATAAGACCAACAAAGGCACTATTTTCAATACGTTCAAGAGCATTATACGAAAGATCAATTACTGTAAGATTATATAAGTATTGGAAAGTGTTCTCACTAATTACTTGTAACTGATTACCAATTAAAAAAATCTTTTCTAGTAATTCAAGATTCAATAGCAACACAGTTGGTAAAATCTTCAGCTCTGTATATGATATATCAAGGCATATCAAAGATGAAGGAAATATCGGCGGAAAACCACCATATAAAGGATTATTACTAAGATTTAAATATAGTATTTTATGTAAATGTGTGAAAGTTTCTGTTGATATACGTTTTAATTGATTACCCGCTAAATTTAGCGAGACCAAATTTCTTAATGGCAATTCAGTGATAGCTGTTAATCGATTATATGATATATCAAGATATTGCAGAGTGTCTTCCAAACTGGCAAACATGTTTTGCGAGATAATAGACAGCATGTTACCGGAAAGCTCGATACTGATGAGATTTTTGAAGTTAGAAAACAATTTTGGTGGTATCTCGCGAACCAAATTGCGAGTTAGGCTCAAGGTCATGAGATTCGTTGACGCAGCACAAATTAATTCAGTAGACAATGCAGCAATACGATTGAATTCCACGTGTAAATGCGCCAAGGATGGTAATCGTGTGAGCGCTGAAGCTGGTAATAATAAAATATTGTTATCTTGTAAAGATAACCATTTCAGATTTGTCAAGCCCTCAAATGACGATTCTTCGATCTGTAAAAAATGATTTGTATATATAATATAAAATTGCAACTAATTTTGTATAACAAAATTTTTTTCATCAAAATCAATGTTAAATATAAATTTATATGTTTATATTTATAACAATTTGAAATTAAAGGAAAGGTAATATTTTATTTACATTTTGTATAATAATTTTAATAATCAATATTTTAAATTAAAAACTTACTTCCTTTACAAGAGCTATTTCAATGATTTAAATTCATTATTATAAAATATTTATTATTAAAATCGTATAAAAAATGTCATTATAAAAATATTTATAAAAATATGACGGCATTGCTTAATAATAAATTGAAGAAGAACAAAAGTAAGAACGGATAATATGGTCCCTGTTTTTTTTAAGTTTATTTTGAATAAAATAAACAATAATATACGTGTATAATAAAACACTCTTTTGTAATAAAATGTTTCTTTTTTTCTATAAAATAGACTTTCAAGTTTAATTTGTATTATTTTTCATTTCAATTTATTTTTTAATTTTTCAACTTTTTTATTTTAAAAAATCGAGTATTTTATAAAAAACGTTATTTACAAAAATTGTAAACATATTCATCTTTTTTAGTTCTAGAGTAAACAATATGTATATTTTACATTCTAGACACTATGTGTGAATTATAAATAAATGATAGAAATATATTTATCAAATAATTTGATATAAAAATCTTAAAAAAGATGTCATATTATAAGCATGCTTAAGGGATCATATTAGTAAAATGTTCTGTTATTGTTTAACTTTGCATTGTTTAACTCGAAATGTGTATAGTCAAATAAAATGTTAAATAAAAAATAAAACATTTAAATATACATATAATAGTAATAAAATATCTAAATTTAAAAAACTGAATATAATCAAATTAAAATGTATTTTGAAAACGTTTTAAAATATTCAAAAGTAAAACTGAATTAAAATAAATGCCAGCTACTGTATTAGCATATTAATGTCATTGTATAATGACGAGCTATTAAACAAATAACTCCATAGATAATTATTAAAATTCATCATCTAATAGCGGAGATATTAAGAGAGATTATAATACTTACAAGAGCTGTAATACTACTTTTTCCTTTACATTTAATATTCTATCTTTCTATCATTTTTAATATTCTATCTTTTAAAAGCAACTATATCATATCAGTTAACATTAATATTTTATGTATTTTTCACTTTACCTAAGTATTTTCACTTTATCTAAGAAAATAATATTCTTTTAAAAATCGATTTTAATGGTATATTCAAATATACATTTATGTATACATAAATGAAACGTTTCGAATGTTACATGCTATTATATAGAATATATATTATGTATATTATTAACATTTATTTTTATTATTTTTGGATATATTATTATATATTTTATTATTGTTTATTATATATATTATATATATTATATAGAATATAGAAAGGTGAAGAAACATTGCTAAGGCATTGCAATGTTGAATGTGAAGTGTAAATAATTTTTTATTTTGTTGAATGTTTATTGGTTTGTATTATTAATATTGCTATATTAAAAAAGTTTTGAAAACTAATGATACTAACATTCAATGTCCCGAAAAATCAGTGTACACAAAATTTTTAAAAAGAATGTGTTGCAAATGACCACAGATAAATAAAATTAGTTTTAATAACAAGATTATTAAATCATCTAATCATTTTCGATGATTTTTTTGTTACATATTATACATTGCATCTATCGTTTTCTAATAAAAATGTAGATTAGATGGCAAGTAAGAGTCAAACGCTGTTATTTTGCTGATTTATTGAAAAATATTTTATATATTTAATCTCGAGATAAAAAATTCTTAATATAAACATAAATATAAATTTGGTTCGAACGTTTCAGCTCTACATTGAGCCATCCGCAGCGAAAAACATACATAAAAGATTCGAGATATTACAAATTATATACGACCATTGCGATTAATCTTATGCATTCATGTGGCGACAGTTAGTACTAGACTTAGATGATGGAAAATGCTCACAATGATTTCCAGGTCGGTTAGCATAAAGCCAATCAACAAATTATCTATATGTGAGCATATTAGGAGACACGGTAGTGTCTCGGGTGTCAAGTCAACCGAGAACATTACCGTGTGACTTTACACGAGCCGGCGAGATGCGAGCACCCAAGATTATCAGATCTCAATAACGATTGAATCGATCAAATTCTAAGTAGGCTCGATCGATAGCTTGAGTTTGATTTGCATAATAAAAGTATTTTTATTTTTTTTACTATGTGCCCTACGAGCAAAGATATTACTACACAAAGTCTGATCTGGAAATTTTTACTTTAAGAAATGTCGTCGTCTTGGTTGTCGTCGCCTTTATATGGATGCAATGTCTGTCACAAGATGTCATTATTCATTTTATCGACCCAGCAGATCATCAGACTGATAAGTCACTATAGGATCTAGCGAATCAATGTTCTGATTCCTGATTCTGACGGCCTGATTTATCCAGGATCGATAAGATTGATAATGTAATAAACGCGTACATTGAAACGGACACATTAGCAATATATCTAATAAACACACCAATACTTTTTATTTGTTCCATCTTTCTTCTCTCTTTCTCTAATTTAGAAAGAAATACATAAATTGTACAATATTATATCCTCATCATTACATTGTTCGTTCGTATCGATTTTTATATCCATATAAATATATATTTCATAATCTCTAACTATAGTCTCTGCTCCTTACGATTCTGATTGACTGATTATTAATAAATATGCATAACGAGAATAAGAAAATAGAAAACAAAAGAGTGAATGAGATAGTATGCTTGTCGCTCTTTTTCCGTTATGTGTATTATAGAAAAAAAATGTGAAATATAAAAGTATCAAGACGCGCTTTTCGAACATAGAAAGATGATTAATATTGCAAAATGTATGATATCACTATCTTTTTAAAATTATCTTTTTACAAAAAGGTAAATAAAGGCAAGTATAATAAGATTTATTTAAATTGCATTTATTTAAGTATTCAAGATTATTTAATGTAATCTTTTATTGCTATATAATAAGAAATTATTTAAATTGTTCTGTAAAGAAAAATTTTATTTTATTTCGTACCACTCTTTTCGTTTGTACTTTTAACAAAAATTTAAGTTTTATTTACAGAATACAAAATAACTAACCTTTGCATTGCGATAAAACTTTACATAAATTATTTTAAATACTTAAAGTATTTACGTAAATATATACTTATATAAAAAGAATTATGATTTTGTCATTATTTCTTAATTACATTTCTATGAATAAATTTTCTCAATTTATGCTTATGAAAAAACAACAATAAGAAAAAAAAGTTTATCAGTTTAAAATATACTATAATTTTATTTTTATTATGTAATTGTAAATTCTAGATTATCACTAATGTGTCCTTTTCAATGCATGCGTATTTATTACTGATTATCGATCCTGTAGATTATCAGGTCGGATAAGTCAGGGCCACTGTAGGACCTAGCGATCTAGTGAAAGATTGAGAAATGTATCTTTAACTACATATGCATAAGAATGCGAGCAAATCGAAAACGAAAGAGAGAAGTAACATGCTTGCTCTTTTTTCGCGGTCCGATTGGCGGTCGATGATATCGTTGAGTTTCGCCATAAGTTTGACAGTTAGTGATAATTCGTGTCAGTGACTAATGTTTGTGAGTCATAATCTATTATCTATTATCTATTTATCAAGTAGGTTCTTTAAAGCAATATAAATTCAATCATTTTGTGCTATCAAAAAAAATATATTTAATAATTATTTATAGAATATTTATATTTTATAGAATTATCTTCAATGAATTTTTTAAAATAGTTTAATGTTTTTTTCTCTTGCAAGTTTACATAAAATTTATGTAAACTTATGTAAATTTATTATGTTTAACTTATGTAAACTTATTATGTTTAAAAGATACATAAATGATGCCTTAAAAAAAACTAATATATATCAACTAATATATATCAAAATTGATGATATAATGACTTTGTCAGTCAGTAATCAGGAATCTGAGCAGCGTCAAATATTTTTACATAAAATTTTTTTATTTAAATAAAATTTTGTCATTTATTTTGTAATGTTACTCTTTAATTCTTTGATAAAAACGTAAGTTGAGTAAAGTTTGTGATATAATAATATTTTGTGATATAATAATTGTGATATAATAATATTTTAAAGCTAAATAATTATTACCACTTGGATCAGAAAAAAATAACGATAACAATCTCGTCAAGAGTTAGCACAGAATAAGCCGACCAATCAGCTATTCGGACGAGTGAGACGCCTCTATAGACGTCTCGCGGTGTGAAAAGTTTAGGGGCCCTGAAAAGGACCGATGAAACAAGCGCGGAAGCATCTTTTTAATAATTCGTCCAGTATCCAGATTGGTCAATAACTTGATTGAATCGATTAGGTATTGAATTAATCAAATTTGAGAGAAAGTCTGGTTGGAACCGAAGTTCTTCCCATATTTCTCTCGCGTGATTGACTAATGCTGCTACCGTCCTCTCCCTTCTTGGTTCCCATCGTTGAACCATTTGTGTCCAGACATTTTCGATCAAATTTAGATCTGACGAACGAGCAGGTGAATTCACTAATTGGATCTTCGAATGACTCCGAAATGCTTGTATTTCACGCGAGGTATGGACTCCCGTGAGTTATCCTGCACTAGTCGGATAACTGGCATATCCTCTGCAGAGTAGATTGCACGTACTGATGGAAGAAAGATTTCTTTCAGTATGCGAATGTACTCCGCAGAAGTCATGCGTGTGGGGATGTCTACCAGTTCATCGACTGCAGTGCCAGAAATTCAGCCCCACATCACACAAGAAATCCTTCCATTTCTGTGGATAGGCACAACATGGTTTGGATGCAACCGTTGATCTTTTAGACGTCGATCTTTTAGATGATATATGAAGTTTGCGGTCGACAGACGATATGAAAACCTTTTCATCGATCCAAATCGTTGCCTCCCA